AAATGTGGTACTTTACAGTGAGGTCAATATATATTCAAATCAATTTAATGACATTTCAAAACATTTTAACGTCTGAAGTACTTGATTCCGTAAGATAAGAAATAAAAACCGGCCAAGAGTGTATTGGGCTACTCACAGTGTAGAATGTCGTAGTTTCTCGACTGTCACAATAAGTGTCCCCAAGAGTTTTTATAAATTTAGTGTAAGTAGCAAAAGCGAAAGCATACAACGTCCACTCTTAGGGAATTGGGTTACTAATTTATACAAACTAGACGCATAACCACCAGAACTTCTGCGAGCCACAACCACCAGAACTTCTGCGAGCGAGTGGAAAGCCGATACTTTTAGTCCTCCAATAGTTTTTCAATTTCGTCACACTCGAAGGAACTACGTCGGAATCATTCCAAAGGATTATGGTAGTTCTGTTCTTCAAAAAGGGAGATAACAGTTTGCTGAAGAACTACAGATCTATCTTACTTCTGAGTCATGTGTACCTACAAGCTGTTCTCAAGGTTTATCACGAACCGTCTCGAACGCAGGTTTGATGACTTCCAGCTTCCCGAACAAGCCGGGTACCCCAAAGGCTTCAGTACCATAGATCACATACATACGCTTCGCGAGTCGCTCAGCGCGCGATGGAACGGACAATGCTCAGGGTCTCTTTGCGCGACAAAATCCGAAATGTGGAAATTCGCCAAAGGACCAAAGTTACTGACATAGCTCGTAAAAACTGCAGGCTAAAGTGGCAATGGGCATGCCACGTCGCTCGAGGGGCCGACGACATTTTCAGAGTCGCAGAGAGAAAGTTCGACGTGGAGGATTAAGAGGGAGGCCTTTGTCCAATTGTGGACGTTTTCCAGCTGATAATGATGATGACAGATATTATTAGATGAAGTTTCGATCTATTCCTTTGATGATGGAAATAGAGAAAATCCCTATATCTCATTTAAAATTTTTATTTTTTATGCTCAAATAAAATATCTTTATTTTTAAACCAGAGGTGAGATAGACAGACAGACATGGCGAAACTATAAGGGTTTCTAGTTTACTCCGGAACCATGAAACGTATTTAGCGTTTTAAATTACCTTATCTGCCAAACAAGTAATGAAAAAAATCATCGTACCTATTTGTCGTTGCAGCAGGAACGATAATTTGCATGTTTATGACTTGGTTCTAGTAGGTACTAGACTGGGATTAAATTCTACTTTAGGTCCACACGTACCTGGGTAAAGTGTAAACTATATTTTATTTCAGACTATTAATCTATATTTGAGCCAAAGTAAAAATTGGCATTTTAAAATATAATCACATTGAATTTCATGAATATATTTCATTTGAACACAGCCGTTTCAAATGCATTTAATAGAAGGAAATAATATATTCATCGTTGTTATTCATAAATCACACTTACCATAAGCTTATCACTGTGTTACCGATTGTTTAGAACAATAATATATAACTATTACAATAGATAACTGTTGTATTTCTAGTAATTCGAACGAAATCATTTGGTTTCCCTCTAAATTTGAAGGAGGCTTATATAATTCCACTTCCCAAAAAGCTTAATCCTATTTCCTTTGCCGATTTTCGCCCCATTTCCATACTTCCTTTCATATCCAAAATTTTAGAAAAGCTGGTTCACCAACAACTTATCGAATTTTTATCCAAGCATAATTTCCTTACTTAGTCTCTTCCAATTTGGGTTTCGACCGGGGCATAGCACTACTACGGCACTTGATAAAATAACAGACGATATCCGGTCGGGAATGGAGTCAGGTAAGTTAACAGTACTTGTGCTCCTAGATTTTAGTAATGCTTTAACACCATTGACTTCGACTTAATGCTTGGCGTACTCAGTTCTTTTGGTATGTCTCCTTCGGTGATTGACTGGATTCGAAGTTACCTATTCGTCCACCATCAGCGTATTCACTTTGATGATTCTTATTCTTCACGGCGTTTCACTGCTGCCGGTGTGTCTCAGGGTGGCGTGTTATCTCCTCTTCTATTCACATTATTTATTGATTCTATCACTCAAGGACTCTCTTCCTACTGCCACCTTTATGCATCTTCAGATTTACTTACAAACATCGCTTGAGGATGTACCGAACGCTATTGCACTGGTTAACGTCGATTTGGCTCGGATAGGTAACTGGAGTTCTAAATTCGGTTTGCAAGTGAATCCGTCTAAATCGCAAGCGTGCCGTATCCAAAATTAGCTGGGCGAATCATCCACAGGCTTCTTTTCTAAACACCGTTCTTTCTTCCGTGACGTTCTTAACTGGGGATTTATAGCGACAGTAACCTTTCCTGGAATAAACAATTGCTAGTGGTCAGTCACAAACTGTATATTTCGGCGCGTGCCTTAAGGCAATTTTGAAATTTATTACCAACTAACACCAAAATTGCACTTGCTCAGTCTCTTCTTCTACCATTAATCGACTATGCTGATGCCAGCTGTCTAGGACCATCTCACTCAAGAACAATTGGATAAGCTTGAGCGACTTCCAAACTTATGTCTCAGATTTATATTTGGTTTGCGCAAGTATGATCATATTTCTGAATTTCGTGTCATGAAATGACCACCAATTCGCCTTCGGAACACTCATATTCTTTCTTTACCGTATAACGTACTCCTCAATCCTGCAGCTCTTTTTTTATCAACCGTTTTGATTTCAGGAAGGCGTATATTTTATATATATATCGTAGCGTATAATTTATTATGCGCACGGGCATTTGATTTCAGGACGGTGTTTGACACAGTAGATCATGATATACTTCTGGCCAAGTTGTCTGGCGTGGGATACACACCGCATACGTTATCATTTTTCGCCAGCTAATTGCAGGATCGATGTCAGTACGTAGACTGTGGCGGACGGCTTTCTGAACCTTATTTTACTAGATCAGGCGTGAATCAAAGTAGCAATTTGGCCCCTCTTCTGTTCAATTTAACAGTTAATGATTTGCCGAAAGTAATCAATATGTACACCTTTGTTGTTGGCTGACGACTTGAAATTGATTGTTGAAGTGAAGCAGGCTACAGATCATAACATCCTAACATAATAAAGTGGGCGGAGGAAATTTTATACATATTTCCCGCGGTATGTACACCCAGGTGAACCAAGGTGAACAGTAGTAAAATAAAACTTCCCGCTGCACACCTAGGTGGTCTCACGAGGTGTACGGTGGGCAAAGAGCGATCCTTGTTAGTAAGTAGCAAGGAGATGAGAACGTGACGTATGGCGTACCGCAGGGCACTGTCATATGTCTGGATGCTGTTTTTGATTTATGTTAATGAACTCTGTGACCTTAATTTAAACGGTACGTGGATTCCGTCCTACGCGGTTGACGCCGCTACCATCCTCTCTTCCAAAACCTGGGAAAGTTTAGTTGAAGGCTGAGCTGCAGTTAGTGATTTGATAATTGAGAATCTACTCACGCTATAAATCCAAATAAAACAAACAAACAACACACAAAGACACACACCGCCAACACACAAATACACACACCCTCATTCACACATACACACTGGTGTTTAAGTACACATTACTGACTCAGAAAAAGTCACATTGATTTCGAACAGCCACATTGATTTCGATTTTCGCCAGGTTTCGAACCAGCAACAAAAGCGGGACTGTGGGACCCTCCTGGCTACTACGACCTGTCAAGAAGGTAACATTTTGAGTTAAAACTTTCGTGAGTCATATTAAAATTAAATACCTATGTTTAAAATGTGAATTGGCTTACAAAAGACGATCTCTCTCGATGTTATCCACTTCGTGTTTCGCCCATTGCTGCTAATGAACATGACCCCTTAGTGTGGTTTGAAATTAGTCAGTTTAACTCGGGAAAAAGTTGAGCGATTACCTTAACCGATGAACATTATAAAAACTATTTATAAATCAAAGTCAGGTTAAGCTATCATTTATAATGGTACACTGACATCTCTGAACTCTGTAGGTATTTAACCTCAAGAAGTGCTTGATCCTGTATGAGTAACCACGTGAGTAACTGATGTGTCAAACGTTACTCCAAGCACTGTTTGTAGCATTGTTAGTTTTTGTTTGTTTAATTTAGTGTAAAAATGAGTTTAATTGTAATGATATACTTAGTGGGCATAACATGGGATAACATCATAAATTTGTCGAACGCAATGAATATTCGGCCGAAGATTTGGCGCATACTTATTGTGATTTGTAACTTAAAATTTCTTAATATTGTTAGATCGACTTGATTTTGATTGAGTACTATTGAGTATTTTGGTTTTATTAAATTTTTTAATACCAATTTTGCAACTTACTTATTTTTTCTGGAAATATTTTTTTCTGGAATGTCGTGAGTAAGTAGGTACTGATCTAATATATAACTATAACGTACGTTACGAATGTGTCAGGATTCCGAAGATAATATTCTCTTAATTTTTACTATATGTCTTATATACCTACTATAATAATAATCCATAAGTCAGTAAAACGTACCTATATAGGTAAGCATCGCCGTCCCATTATTAATAAGTATACTAAAGAAACTTAACATTTTTCTTTGACTCTGTAAAAAATCAGGACGTTTTTTAAATCACCATGTTCTAAAATTTAATCTGCGTTGATCTCTCAAATAGGTAGCACTCGCCATTATTTCATCACTTGTAATATTATATACCTAAACGATAACGCTGAAATCCCGGGCAGTCGACTACGAAAAAGGGAAAGTACACTTCAGACATATTTAACAAGTTAAGCTGAGTCTTACAGCAGTATCTTAAAATTTATTCACGAATATTACAATTTACCCTAAAAGTACATAACATTGCAGAAAGGTAAATTGGCAGGTAAAACAGCCGCGAGTAGGGTCGGTACTTCGACATGGTTTCGGGCGCTATCTTAATCGTCCAGCGTTTAAGCATATTTATGTAGCAATAAGTTATCAGAAGCCTAATTACGGCCGCGAAACCACCTGTCCGCTATCATCTGTACATAGGCCTTCGCATATACTTCCGTGCGTCTTACGCGCGGTCCCACCCCCGCGGTGCCATTGGTTGGCGAGGTGGGTGCGCGCGCAGTGGCCCTCCTCGTGGCCGGGTGTGAGACGCAGCGACTCCGAAGGAGCCGGTCGCGACCGCGATGTGCAGCCGCGGACAGTTCTGCCGCGACCACGTCGCCACGCTGCCGTCGCACGCTACGCAAGCCACGCCGCCGTCGCTGCCGACTCGGCTGTGCAACACTATAATTTCACGAATCTGCCGTTACATTTCGAACTTTCTCAATGAATGCAATAGTTAGAAGTTACTTTTGAATGTTCAAACTAAAGTTATTTAAGTTTCAAAAACTTTAGAAAACTTTTCAGGCTTAGTTTTTTTTGTGTAAAAAAATTTAAAACGATATTTAATTGGTGATGTGATATGGCTAGGCGACGACAGTACACTATCTGCGCTCGGCTGTTGTTGGCCGGATGCGCGTGGGCATGCGCGCTGCTCATTTCTGTCGCTGCTGATGCACATCCTGATGTTGACACATCCACTGGACTTGGTGATAACACACTCACTAATTCAGGTAACTGACTACTTCTTCCTCTAGCGTAGATCAGGCACGGCAATACTAAAATAAAAATAGTAGCTTCATTATTATTTTTACTGACTGGACAAATTCAACTAAAATATCGGCTGTTGTACACCAAACTCATTAACTTTAATAGGCACAAAACATGTATAACTCTACAAGTTAGTTACATTTTTATAAGTTTCAAAATCATCGCGGTGATTATAACAGTTACTTTTAAATTGTTTTCTCCACAAGTAAACTTTTAAAACAATATTATTGTTCTCCTTACATTTAAATTTTAATACTTTAGGATATATAAGACCGTTTAAAACGTTATTTATAAATAACAGCTGAGTAATATTATTTGTTTCATTAAATGAGGTTATCAGAAAATCAGAGGTTATATTATATCTACATAAAGAGACTAGACACTATGTTTGTACATATGAATAACACGGGAAGATAACGCATATAATGAATTGTGTTATATGCAATTGTTATTGATGAAAGTGTAACCTTCACTTATATTATATTATGAATCTTAAAATCTTTACTAGGCTGAACGGAGTAGATACCTACTTAGTTACAATATAGGTAGTAATATATACTATAGGTAAATAAGTACAGAATTCTGAGATACTACAGCCAAATAATAAAACCGTTTCTACTTATTTGAAATAAATAAATAAAAAAATTAATATATAAATAAGTAAATAAATAAATCTATGTAGATTAAAATCAGAAAGTTTTTAATGATAAACTAGATATAAAAGTAAATGATATTCATTTATAATTTAGTGTAACTTTATTTGTGACGGACTCATAGTCGTTATTACCTATTGTAAAATAAGCGTAGGAATATAATAAAAATAAAAAATAGATTATAAGACGGTTACGGTGTATTAGTAAAATAATTTACTACATTATTTAAAAAAAATATACTCAGAGATTTTTTATTTGAGACAGATAATTACCAAAATTCCAGACACTTATTTGTTTTACTGATGGGGATATAACTTTATAATTTCGATAACAGATAATTAATTGCTGGCTACGTACACACTTTTGGTATTTAATATGAGCAAGTAAAATTGCATATAGGTATTGTCTCAAGTTGTTCAAGTTTTTTTTCCTTTTTTTCTTCAAGCATGCTTAAGCAGGTACAAACCTACTCGTATATAAATAAAATGGTTTAGGTAGTTTGCCATAGAAATGACAGCAAAAATAACATCATTGTCGCGCAAATAATATACTTATCAAACGTAGCTATTATTCACAAGGCATATACATTTTATTAAAAAAAAAAAAATTGAATACGTTAAGAATAAAATAAAGCATGATTAAAATGCAGAGTTGATAAATAAAAAAATTATTAACATTTAATCGAAATTTTGTAAAAGCGAAACGAATTGGTAAAGGGTTTGTTTTTAACATCTTTATTTTCGCAACTATCAAAGATAAATTAATTCCAATACGATATTCTGTGATGTGATAGTTGTGCTCTATTTACGGGTATTTCTCTAAGTAAGTAATAGTATTAATTTACATAAATCTTAACGTTTTGTATCAGTGGTGTTCACGAAATCTTCAATTATATCATTCAGCACTGTAAGACTGACGGTGGGCGGCGACCAAATTGAACAACACCTATTATATACATCCACTTATATACGAATTTATCATCAAATAACGTCTTTCGAATAACTGTGTGTAAATTTTTGCATTTATTCGTATTCGTTTTTATGAAATTATTATATTTTTTTAATTTAATATTTGTAAACTAGTTGATGTTTTTGCACAAGTATGACTAAATCGTACACAAAAATTGGTCGTAACGAGACAATCAAGTTCAGTTGCGTTTTTCTAACTATATTTTATAACATTTAAAATCCCTTTTTCTAAATCTCCGAGTAGTACGTAGATATGCATTTTAAGCGCATTTTTGTACCAAATAATGATATCAGGTACAAAGTTATTTATAATTTTTATCTTGTAATGATTGAATTACTCAAAATTGGGCAACATGATTACAATTATGGTACGGCTTGTGTAATAGAGCCCTTGTTATAAAATAACAAAAAAAAAATCACAGGAAAGTTAAAGAAATATTTCGAACTCGAGTAATGACCATTAGCAAGGAATTGAGTATGTAAATTAGACTGATTTTCTATAATAACGAAGTTTATATTTTGTATTTTAATAAAATTATATTACCTTACTGTACCTTTTATCAGAAAGCATTCTTTTTTGCGCTATTTATTAACTACTAGCTACTCTCGCTCGGTTTCACCCGCTGCTCGGCTCCATTTAATCGTAGCGTGATGTTTTCCAATAGCACTTAGGAACCTTGTAGCTATCTATCAGTGAAAGAATTTTGGCAATCCGACCAGCGGTTCCAAAGATTACCCCCTACGTACAAACTTACAAACATACAAACTTACAAATTTTACCTCTTTATAATATTAGTATAGATAACCGTGACCATTTTTGTTAAAGCCAGCAAGCATACTCCACTCTTCAATTTGTAGTGTGTTAGGAATATTAGGCCGCGTAGCCATTGCTACACGTGCTACGATGGTGCTACGAGATATTAGCTTCAATTCAACTTATTTTACCTACATATATTCTAGTTGTTCAACTATGATGTTAAAAAATTGTAAAATCGTACGAACTGTATAATCATATAAATAATAACAAGGCAAAGCAAAATAGATTTGAAAAAATGGAATAGTCCGCCATTCAGTACGTGATAAATAAAGAGTAGAATAGTAAATGTGATTAGTGGTAATATTATAATTCTTAGTAATATTTAAGTACCGGTAGTAAAACGGCCAAATACGTTACATTATAATCTTATTTAAAATTCACATTTGATGAAACATTTAAACATACAATGACATTACATAAAATCGCGTTAATAGTAGGACTCCTGTGTCAGATAGTCGGGCATAGTGATGCCAGTAATTTGGCCAGTCGTAAATTACTCGTTTAACTGAATTACGCGAGTTGAAAGCATTCCACCGCTGTCGAATGCGAACCGTTTCCATTCCCTTGCTACTCGCGGCCACTGATATGTTGGCATCCATGCACTTCACAAATGAGCTTTGAATCAACGAAATTTCATTTGCGAGTCATTTGCCATCGATAACGTGTCAATCTTAATAACAATCCCGTCAGCTTGTTGGTATGTGATGCTGTTACTAATTGGTTAGTATGCAACGTGCATGCACTATCGACCAATGTGTGACTGTGACGGCACTTCAATACAATAAAACTTTGTCAAAATCTCTGGATTTGTTAAAACTATAAATTTTCATGGGTATTTTCGACTGAAAATCATTTCGGTTTCATTAATTAATGTAATTACCGAGCTGAGTTAATCGGTAATTACAATTCACAATGAGAAAGAACAGATTTTACAACACACACCTCATTTTGAAAATGATGTAATTAAAACCGTTATTGGGACGCAGTGTGAATACTGATAAAGTTCAAAATAAAAAAGAGACGTTTGACCGGCTGGTCAAAGTCAGTTAGCTATAAGTTATGATTCAATTTTATGTAATTATTTTATTTTTCTTTTTCAGTGGCAGCGTGTTAATGAATGGCCTTGTTTTTCTTAATTGCTAGAGATAAAGATAAATATGAGATAAAAAAATGTGTCAGTGGCATAGAACAGAACTATATTTTGCATTTTGCATTAGATAATTTCTTCAAACAAGAGAAGAAACGATTAATAAGTAAAAATTATGACAATAATGATTATTTATTACATTATAAAGTCTGTCGTACACTATTGTTAAATGTGTATGAAGAAAAAATTATAATATTCTAGTCCAAAAACAATAATAAAATACGAGTATAATTTTACGGGAGGCGGTACCGCGACGCGTAAGGAGCCGTCGGCGTCGGCTACTTTTAAAATTAGTCGTTGGAAGTAACGCATAGGCTTTATTATAAATCATAATACTTAGCAAATAATTGTATATGTTAAAATTTAGGTCTTGTGAATAAATTCAAATAATAACTTACAATATATAGACATATGAACAAAATATTAATATAATGGAATATGTAAAAAAACAATAACGGAAATGATATATGACGCATATTGTTTTGTAAAGGAACCTAGATAAAGTGATCATTAATCATAAGTGGAAACCAAGCATTCCTTAATTCAGTAATATATCGTGTTTCTAATTTTACTTCAGTTTTGTAATGAATTTATAAAATACTGAAGGATAAACAGTGTTTATTAATAAAGAAAAGATTTTCGGTTTGTTTTTTGTCACACGTTTTAGGGGAGCCTACTTAATACAATTTATATATCACTAGCTTTTGCCCGCGACTCCGTTCGCGTGGAATATTGACTTCCTGCAGACTTTTGGTATATCCTATGTCCTTTCTCGAGTTCTAAACTATGTCTGTACCAAATTTCATAGAAATTGGTTCAGTAGTTTAGGCGTGATAAGAAAAGGCAGACAGACAGAGTTACTTTCGCATTCATAATATTAGTATAGATAGTATAGATTATAACCTCACCTTATTGGTTGCAAGATCTTTAATTATAGTATTTGGTAATACCGTATATGTATTATTTCTTCTTATCAATAGGAACGATGGATATTGAGGATTCATACTAAGGATCTGTTTCAGAATGTTTGATTGGCCGTATATGTACATAACCAGATTTTGAATATAGAACGTAATTTGTTGTTCAAGTCTACTGGGAGCAAATGCAGATAATGAAACAAGACCATAATACTATTTTAACGATACATATTTGTGATTTTTTATGAGATTACTAATTTGTGACGTCTTTTTCTAAGGCAAATTATTTGTTTACAATCAATTTTATGCTGAAAAACATAAACGACTTAAACAGGAGTAAAATACAGTCATAGCCACTGATCCAACTTTCATCCAACCTTCCAACCTTGCATTATACATATAGATGTACATTAATTTTATGAATACCATAAGAATGTTGAACCACAGAAAATTCCTTCATGAACACATATATGTAGGTATACATTTTTTAAATATATAGTGTTACG